AAAAAAAAAAAAAAAAAAAAAAAAAAAAAAAAAAAAAGATGTTGTGGTTATCCTTCCCTAAGGTGTAGCTTGTGCTGAATCAGTAAAGGGTAGAAGCTGCCCAAATTAGGGGAAGACCAGTGTGTAGCATTGAAGCAGGGCTTTGCTGAAAGTAATTCAGGAATAATACCTGATGTATTTTACTCCAGTGATGGTGTATTTGAAAGTCTTGTAGGTTCAGTCCTTTCAAATAACCTTTGGAGGTATAGTTGCCAATGTAAAAGCTTATTCTGTTTCTCAGATAAAATATACTCCGTTAAACAAACTTCTGACTCTTGTCTTCCCTCCCTAAAAATAAATTTGGAAATATCATAGATATTGTGAACTTTTTAATGAGCTCCTCATGTGAAAATTTTAGGAAATTTTATAATACAGAAGAAAAACTTCTTCAATATTCTTCCTTAGAAACCAAATTAGATTAAACTTTAAAATGCTTTTTAAATTATCACCTAATAGGATATGGGTTGCATTAGGGCTATAGACTGTCAGTAAACCTGCTTTTTTAGCTACTTGGCAACTTGCTTGGAAATGGCCATGTTCTTTTTTCAGGTTATTGCTTAATCTGTTATTGTTTGAGTGGAGTTTTGTTAGAGGATTCTAAGGTTTCCAGCGGATTCTAACAATTTTACTACTATAATCTGCATAATTTTAAAATCTACTCTCACAACTATCTGAATATCTCTTAATTTTTATCCTGGAGTTGAACTAATCATCATGGTATATGAAGTACCCAGGTATTGATTGCTTGTTATGCTTTAAGGTCTATAGCTTAATTTTAAAAAAAAATGAATTTTTAATAGCCCAGTTCCGATCTGTCATGTTAACCTTTCCAACTCATTTTAATTAATTTTATTTTCCAGGAAGCAGCCCAATATGGCAAGAAGGTGATGGTCCTGGACTTTGTCACTCCCACCCCTCTTGGAACTAGATGGGGTGAGCTTTTAAAATACTCTAGAAGTGATGTTTTCGAAGCTGTTTTCCCCTGGCTCCTAAAACCTAATTGAAAAAATCAAAAACTAAGTTAAAGAAAAACCAGCCCCAAAACATATATATCTTTTATTTGAGCTAAGTTAAAATGGATCAGGTTAAATGCTAAAAATTTAGGTTATCTAGCATATATAGGGGCTTATTAACTGAAAATAGAAACTTTTCATATATGGATTTCTGTTTTAAATCTACCTCCTACATTCAACAAGAACTGGAATCAGATACCTTACTGCATAGCCCTTGCTGCTTCTGAGTTTTTATATGTTCCTTATTCATTTATTCAACAAATATTTATTGAAGATTTATTATGAACCAAGGCAGTGACTGTAGCAGTGAACTTGGTACATTCAAAGTTCCTGCCCTTGTGGAGCTTATGTTCTAAGTGGGGAGACAAAATATATGTAAGAACTTTAGGAATTGTGGTAAGTGGCATTGAAAAAATTATATAGTGGTATAGAGAGGAAGTAGATAAAGGAGAGTTTAACTTTGAGAAGATTATCAGGGGAGGCATCTGAAGAGGTGACATTTAGAAGAGGCCAAAGAATGAGAATGAGCCAGCTGTCAAAAGGTGAGGCAGAACCTTCCAGGCAGCTTTCCTCTTTCTCTGAAGATAGCACATACAAAGGCCCTGAGGTAGGTAAGAGTCCTTCATGGTTGTGGTGTGGCTATCGGGAGCTGGAAGTGGTGATGTGAGCTGAGACCAGAGAGGAAGACAGGTGTCACTATTGAGGGCTTTGTAGGCCAAGATGAGGAATTTGGACTAATCAGAGCATATAATTTAGACCAAATTGGACTAATCAAAACATATAAATGAACCTTTGAAGACTCTTAAGACAGGGGAGCCATGTGATAATACAAATTTTTTTTTTTTTTTTTTTTTGAGACGGAGTCTTGCTCTGTCGCCAGACTGGAGTACAGTGGCACAATCTCTGCTCACTGCAACCTCGGTCCTTGGGTTCAAGCGAGCCTCCTGCCTCGGCCTCCCAAGTAGCTGGGACCGCAGGCGCACGCCATGACACATAGCTAATTTTTGTATTTTTAGTAGAAACGGGGTTTCACTATGTTGGCCAGGATGGTCTCCATCTCTTGACTTTGTGAGCCACCGTGCCTGGCCATGATAATATAAATTTTGTTAAAGATTACTTGACTGCTTGCATTAGAAGGAACAAAGAAGCAAGAAGTCTATATAAGGTGATGTCACAAATTCTGATTCATCCGTGCAGCAGATATTTAATGTATCAATTCTGTGTCAGACACCGTTCTTGGTGCTAGGTATTTCCCTTTTGCCCTGTGGAGCTTACACTCCAGAGTGACACTGGTAGCATTCTGCTTAGAGGACTTACTTTGAGTTGTATTCTTTCTTATTCTTGTCATTTTGGTCACCTGCCTGTGTTTTGTTCTAATGGAAATAAGCTGTCACCATATTCTTTAAGCTTAGGGATATGAAACCTTTTTTTAGGGAGCAAGGGAAGTCATGCATCCTTTAAAAAAATCAAGTGAATGCTATAGGCCACCTTCTTAAAAAATGCTCATATATACCAACTTTTATATGTAGTTTAAGACCCACTACATTCTAATCATGCACAGCATAACAGCTCCTTTATCAGTTACCTCTGTGCATAGATTCAATGGCAAGTACAGCTGCTGCTTGAATTACAATGGGACTACATCGTGATAAAAATCTTTGTATGTTGAAAACATAAGTTGAAAATGCATTTAATATACCTAACCTACCGAACATCATAGCTTAGTCTAGTCTACCTTAAACATGCTCTGAACGCTTACATTAACCTAAGGTTGGGCAAAATCATCTAACACAAAATCTATTTTATAATAAAGTGTTGAATATCTCATATAATTTATTGAATACTATACTGAAAGTGAAACACAGTATGGTTGCATGGATATCAACATAAAGTAGAAAAATGACAAGTCAGAGGTTGTCTGTATAGGGTTGTGTACATAGTAAAATTTCAATTTCTGGCATCTTTATCAGCAGTCATTTAATTTTGAATCTTTGAAGTATGTGGAAATTGTGGAAATCTGCCCCTCTTTTTGTTTTGTTTTAGGATGATATTGCTGTGTTTGGTATAAAAGGGTCCCTGAACTTAGGAATGTTGTGAAGATTTAGGAATAAACTTATATAAACATTATTGGCCACATTAAGCATATATAATACAATATTTCTTAGAATTGTAATAATTGTTGACTTTTTTTTTCTTTGAAGGTTTGTAAGGTTTGAAAAGCAGGCTATAAACTGATTTCTCAATGTTTTTGTAGGTCTTGGAGGAACATGTGTGAATGTGGGTTGCATACCTAAAAAACTGATGCACCAAGCTGCTTTGTTAGGACAAGCCCTACAAGACTCTCGAAACTATGGATGGAAAGTCGAGGAGACAGGTACAGGAGGGAAAAGCTACTCTTCTGTTTGTGCTTTTAAGGGGTTGAGCTGCAATCTTGCAATGCATCATCCATTTCCGTGAAGATAGCAAATAGTCTAGTTGTTTTTTGTTTTTGTTTTTTGAGACAGAGTCTTACTCTGTTACCCACGCTAGAGTTCAGTGGCAGTGACGTGATCTCCACTCACCGCAACCTCTGCCTCCTGGGTTCAAGCAATTCTCCTGCCTCAGCCTCCCAGTAGCTTGGATTACAGGCGCCCGCCACCATGCCCAGCTAATTTTTGTATTTTTAGTAGTAACAGAGTTTCACCATTTTGGTTAGGCTGGTCTTAAACTCCTGACCTCGTGATCCACCCGCCTTGGCCTCCCAAAGTTCTGGGATTATAGGCGTGAGCCACTGTGCCCAGCCAGCCTAGTTGTTTTTATTGTTTACATTTTTGATAGATACAGTCACTGGAATTATCCTTTGTCAAGTATTTACATAGTTGTAATGGTAATAACAGATACTGCATTTGGACTATGGGGTTTCTATAATATAAAATTAGAATTCTTTTGAATATATTGTCATGTAGTGTTTGTGAGAAATCATGCAGTGTTTATAATTTGTAAGGAAGTACTAATAATGTTTGTTTTCTTGAAGCTTTTGCATTTTTCTCCCTCCAAAGAAGTCTGTTTCACGAGCCAGTATTTGTCGGGGGTGGTGGGTGGTTGTTGAAGAGAGGGAGTAGTTAGACTTTGTTGGATTAAAAATATTCAGAGTACCCTGGATAACCTAGAAACCCTAGATGAGTTGAAGAGATTGGAATTATTAATTTTAGAAAGCAGGTTGCATTATCTATTAGAATAATAAAGTGAGAACCGGCACAGCTTCCTGGCTAATTTATGACATATGTCACTCTGTTATGAAGAGTGAAACTCCAACCTCTATCTGATTGAGGTTTGAGACCTATGGATTATGGAGCATTTGAAAGAAAATACTCTAGCCAGTAGCCAGGGTAAACTGTTTTGTGTTTTTTCCAGAGTTTTAATTGTTTATTAAATGTAAAGATAAGACATAAATACATACTTTGAAAAATTTTGCTCTCACTCAAACTAGTCATGCTTCCTTTGTTGACACTTTGACTTTCTATTTAAAATCAATAGTACCTTTTTTTTTCTTTTTGAGACGGAGTCTCGCTCTGTCACCCAGGCGCGATCTCGGTTCACTGCAACCTCTTCCTCCTGGGTTCAAGTGAGTGCAATGGCGAGATCTCGGTTCACTGCAACCTCCTCCTCCTGGGTTCAAGCGATTCTCCTGCCTCAGCCTCCTGAGTAGCTGGGATTACAGCCACCTCTCTCCGTGCCTGACTAAGTTTTGTATTTTACCATGTTGGTCAGGCTGGGTTTCACCATGTTGGTCAGGCTGGTCTCCCAACACCTGACCTCGTGATCCGCCCGCCGCAGCCTCCAACGTGCTGGGATTGCAGGTGTGAGCCATTGCGCCTGGCCTAATAGTACCCTTTTCAAGTCTGGAATCTTAGAAAATCACTAACTTTTAAAGTTTTATAATGTTGGGATCACATTATTTGTTGAGATCCTTGAGAGAGAAAGAGATATGAGAAGAAATTTTGTAAAACATTGATAATTGCTGCGGCTTAGATGATTGGCACGTGTGGGTGAGTTATATACTATTCTGTTCTACTTTTAGTAGAGAAACAGCAAGTCCTGAGCCTTTCATGGTGGTGGTGGTAAACAGAGGCCAGGCAGGCAGGTTGGTCCAGGCTTCCTGTAGAGCCATAACCACAGTGGCATCTGCAGTTATTATTTTTTCTTTCAGTTGAACCAGTCTCTTAAGGTTTGCTTTAATTCTAACATATGTTCATATGAATTCAATATCCATGAACTGTCTATTCTCTAGGAGGCTTTAAATCAATTTTTGTATGCTGTCATTCCCACTTCCAGAGGCTGACCAGCAAGTGTTATAAGTCTGTTTTCAACACTTTCTGTATAGCCAGGCTACTTGCCCACTGAATTGGTCTCCATATTCCTCATTTCCATGAGAGAAGATTTCAGTGTATGTTGATTTGCTTCTTCCATCCAAATCACAGCTGCCCTAGGACCTGTCTTCTGCCTACCACTAGAGTATATTTACCTGTATCTTGTTTTTTTCCTAGTAATTTATAAGATATTAATTATTGGGCCAGGTGGCTCATGCCTGTAATCCCAACAGTTTGGGAGTCCAAGGTGGAAGGACCACTTTGAGGCCAGGAGTTTGAGAGTACCTTGGGCAACAAAGGAAGACCCTGTCTCTACAAAAAAAAAAAAAAAAAAAAAAAAAACTTAGTTGGACATGGAAGCCCTCACCTATAGTCCCAGCTTCTCAGGTGGCTGAAGCAGGAGGATAACTTGAGTTCAGGAGTTCGAGGCTGCAGTGAGTGATGATTGATTACACCACTGCACTCCAGCCTGGGCAACAGAGCTAGACCCTATCTCTAAAGATGAGATTATTGAGGCTGGGCGCAATGGCTCAAACACCTGTAATCCCAGCACTTTGGGAGGGTGAGGTGGGCAGATCAAGAGGTCAAGAGATGGAGACCATCCTGGCCAACATGATGAAACCCCATCTCTACTAAAAATGCAAAAATTACCTGGGTGTACTGGCGTGTGCCTGTAGTCCCAGCTCTTGGGAGGCTGAGGCAGGAGAATCTGTTGAACCCAGGAGGCGGAGGTTGCAGTTAGCTGAGATTGCGCCACTGCCCTCCAGCCTGGCAACAGAGTAAGACTCTGTGTCCCAAAAAAAAAAAAATTAGCCACACTGCCACGTGTGTTCCAATGCAACAATTTTGCACGTTCTTCACATGTACCCCAAAACCTAAAATGCAATAAAATAAATAAATGGGAAAAAAAAAAATTAGCTGGGTGTGGTGGCCTGCACTTGTAGTCCCAGCTACTCAGGAGGCTGAGGCATGAGAATAGTTTGAACCCTGTGAGGGTGGAGGTTGCAGTGAGCTGATGGTGCCACTGCATTCCAGTCTGGGCAACAGAGCAAGACTCTGTCTGGGGGGAAAAAAAGAAAGATTATTGAATAACAAAGAATTGATTTTTATCCTTTGAAATTTAACATTGCTTTAGTGCCCTGACTTAAAAGATTAATTTCATTATGACAGAATAAAAAGAATTTTTAAAAGTTCTATTATAAGATGTGGGAGTTTGGAGGGAAATGAGATAGACTCTTAAAATTCTGTCTAGATGAACAGTGAGTGAATTTTTTTCTGTAAAAGGCCAAATGGTAAATATTTTAGGATTCTTGGGCCACTGGGTCTCTAGTAGCCAATTAACTCTGCTCATGTAGTATGAAAGCAGCACTAGAAAATATTGAAATAAATACACATGGCTGTATTTTAATAAAGGCTGTATTTTAATAAAGCTTTATTTACAAAAAGGTGATGGGCTGGATTGGCCCATGGTGCCAATTTGCCAGTCCCTAGCATAAACACTGTTACTAGTGTAGTGACTCAGTAGTTGGCTACATCAGAAACTCTTGGATTTTCTTAAAATAGAGAATCCTAAACCTTAATATATTCCAGAAATCAGTAAAATTTGAGTTCATTTCTAGATAAAGAAGGAAAAAGTTTGTGTATTGTTACTTTAGTTTAAAATTGTCAGTTCTGTCTTATATTTATTTAATTGTATTAGTCTTATAAAAGGGAAAGAATATTTGAAGATGAAAAAGTAACATACGTGCGCAAAATGGAGGATACGCCCTTTTAGATTGCCTTTAGAGCTCTGCTACTTGTATTTCGCTTGTGTGGTTATTGAGAAATGATCTTTGCCAGGAGTTGAAAAGCCAAACAAGATTTTGTCTTATTTTCTTGTACAGTTAAGCATGATTGGGACAGAATGATAGAAGCTGTACAGAATCACATTGGCTCTTTGAACTGGGGCTACCGAGTAGCTCTGCGGGAGAAGAAAGTTGTCTATGAGAATGCTTATGGGCAATTTATTGGTCCTCACAGGATTAAGGTAATTGTGTGACATCCTGACTTAGCTCTTTTTTTTTTTTTTTTAGGTTTAGTTGGAAAATGTTAACATATTATAGTAAAAGTATATATATGTGAAAGTATTATAGTAAAAGTATATATATGTGACAGTATTATAGTAAAAGTATATATATGTCACCTAGACTATCCAGTTTGGTGATTTTGCTGTCATATCCAATGGGGCCTTGCGTGGAGGTATGGTAAAATGTAAGCATACTGGACTGGATCACCTGGATTTGAGGCTTGGCTCTGCCTCTTAGTAGCATTGTGACTTTGACTAAGTCTGTTAAATACTCAGCCTTAATTTATCCTTTTTATTATATTATTGTCCTCATTATAAGGATGAAATGAGATAATGTAGTGAATGACCTTTGTTAATATGAAGCTTACAATTCTGAGGAACGATTACTTAATAAGGTTTTCATATTGGTTCCTTTGTAGGCAACAAATAATAAAGGCAAGGAAAAGATTTATTCAGCAGAGAGATTTCTCATTGCCACTGGTGAAAGACCACGTTACTTGGGCATCCCTGGTGACAAAGAATACTGCATCAGCAGGTAAGGAAAAAATGCAGGGAGGAAAAGAAAAACCCATTGTGGATTTTTGCTTTTGCAAGTTTCTTCAAATCCGCTTCATCAATTTCTTGGACTTCAGACAGATTTCTTTGCCACATTGTGCCCTCTCTAGGGGCCAGGGTTTGGGAGAAAGAAAAAAAGAAAGGAAAAATTATTTTAAAGGAAAGCTTTTTTTTTTTTTTTTTTTTTTTTTTTTGAGACAGATTCTCATTCTGTTGCCAGACACCAGGCTGGAGAGCAGTGGCGTGATCTCGGCTCACTGCAACCTCCGCCTACCGGGTTCAAGCAGTGCTCCTGCCTCGGTCTCCCAAGTAGCTGGGACTATAGGCGTGCACCACCACACCCAGCTAATTTTTGTATTTTTCAGTAGAGATGAGGTTTCACCATGTTGGCCAGGATGGTCTCGATTTCTTGACCTTGTGATCCACCTGCCTCGGCCTCCCAAAGTGCTAGGATTACAGGCATAAGCCACCGCGCCCGGCCAGGAGAACATTTTAAATATTGAAAACTTGGTCATCTTGTTACACAGAGTTAGTAGCACTAACATACTAGCATATAGATTTATATTTACATTTGTATTTGAAATTTATATGTGTGTGAGTATATAAGTATATATTTAAAAAGCCAAATGAATATTCACATTTTGTAAAATAAGTATAATACGTATATACATTTAGATTTTGTAGAATGAGGCTCATGTATTATCCTTCAGCACATACAGAATGGCCACTATAAGAATTAGAGGATGGCAGGCCATTTAGATTTATCGACCTCTAGACCCCACTGAATGCTGTTTGAATGGTTGCAGTGTCATTGTAGAAGGACCTCTTGAAACCAGTCAAGCAAGGAGAGGTTTTTCTGTGTGGTTTATTTTTGCCCATCAAATGAAAACACTGCTGACATTGTTCAGGAGCTTTCAATTATGAAGTCATTAAGACAGAGTGTTGGTAAATGTGTCCTCTTGAATGCTTTTTGCTCAGGAGTTTCTGATTGTCTTATAAGTTACTCTTCTCCTTCAGGCTGTTTTTGGTATATGATATTATCCTTTCCCACATGGTGGGAGAGGCAGGTCTCTGGGGCCTTTTTAACAAGGATATTAGCCCCATTCATGAGAGCTCTGCCCTCATGGCCTAATCACCTCCCAAAAGGTCCACCCCTTAGTATGATTGCCTTGGGGTTTAGGATTTTAATGTATGCATTTTGGGGGTACATAAGCATTCAGACAATAGCAGGCTCCCTTCCGATATTTTTTAAAAACTCGTTCTTGGCTCATGCCTATAATCTCAGCACTTTGGGAGGCCGAGGTGGTCAAATTACGAGGTCAGAAGATTGAGACCATCCTGGCCAACATGGTGAGTGAAACCCTGTCTCTACTAAAAATACAAAAATTAGCTGGGCATGGTGGCACGTGCCTGTAGTCCCAGCTACTCAGGAGGCTGAGGCAGGAGAATTGCCTGAACCCAGGAGGTGGAGGTTGTGGTGAGCCGAGATCGCGCCATTGCACTCCAGCCTGGGTAACCAGAGCGAAACTCCATCTCAAAAAAAAAAAAAAAAAAAAAAAAAAAAAAAAAAAAGCCAGGCAAGATGGCTCACACCTGTAATGCCAGCACTCTGGGAGGCCATGGCAGGTGGATCACCTGAGGCCAGGAGTTCGAGACCAATCTGGCCAACATGGTGAAACCCCGTATCCACTAAAAAATAACAAAATTAGCCAGGCTTGGTGGCGGGTCCCTATAATCTCAACTACTCTGGAGGCTGAGGCAGGAGAATCCTATGCTAGGTGGAGGTTGTGAGCCGAGATCATGCCACTGCACTACAGCCGGGGCAACAGGGTGAGACTTCATCTCAAAACAAACCAAACAAACAAGAAAAACAACTCATTCTCTAACAATGCTTTTATTTTTATGATCTCTGTGTCCTGTATATTCCTAGCTCAACTAGAAGACTTTTGTCAGCTTCTACTTTTTATAGTTGGCTTTTATATTTCAAGATATTGAAAGTTTTTTGGTTTCTTTTCTCCATGTTTGTTCACACTCTTGATAATAATTGGTTTCCACTAAGAAGAAGTAACACAGATTTTTCCACCTCAGAGAGACCTGAATGGTGCATGAGGATGGAGGTTTGCGTTTGCAAATCTATGATTTATTCCAAACAGTTCAGAATCATTTAGTGTGAAGATGAGTTGTACTAACTGACTAATATCAGGAGTTACACAGTTTGCTGTGTTTAGCTATGGGTAGCTTGAATTACTCCCAACGCAACTGAGTGGCAAGAAAGGGTATCTAAGAATTATAAAAACTTCTCATGTATTATATGTGTAGCTAGTAGAATGTTTATCATCCTGAAAGTATGTTCTTAGCAAAGTAAAAATGTGTACTTGGATTTAGTAATTATTCATATATGAACATTATTTTTATTCTTTCTTCCTCTCCCCCACCCCACCCCACCAGTGATGATCTTTTCTCCTTACCTTACTGCCCGGGGAAGACCCTCATCGTTGGAGCATCCTATGTTGCTTTGGAATGTGCTGGATTTCTTGCTGGTATTGGTTTAGATGTCACTGTTATGGTTAGGTCCATTCTTCTTAGAGGATTTGACCAGGAAATGGCCAACAAAATTGGTGAACACATGGAAGAACATGGCATCAAGTTTATAAGACAGTTCGTACCAATTAAAGTAAGTGGGTTTGCCTGTGTAGGTTTGTTGATTCTATTCACGATAAAAGGCAAAAAGAGAGTTGAGTTGGTAGTGGAAGCATCCTTTCAGCATTATAAACCATCGGAAATGCTGATTCCCCTACTATTGTATATTGTTATACAAACCTGTACCTACCTAGCATCTAAACACCTATGTAACTTTGTTCTTACTTATAGATTAATAATCTCTTCCTTTGGTTTTCTTCTGTTTTCTTCTGTTTAATGCTTCCCTTATGCATTCCTTTGTCATCTTTGGTCTGGTAATACTTTGTTTCTTCATATGCACCAGAGATTTAAATAAGAATTCAAGAATAGGCACCCTCCGCACTCGCCGGCTCCCCATAGGACATCCCCCCTTGGTATACGATACAGTCTCAACATATACACTACACACTTCTGGCATCCCTGGTAGAGATTATCTCATTTATTTATGTATGCTAACCTTTTTTGCTCTTTTACTCTTTTGAAAAGTTCTAATAACATGCCACATCACACCTGGGACTTAACATTATCACAATAGTTTTGACACATAAGAGTGACAAAATTGAACACTTAGTATATGTCTCAGACTAATAGATAGTTTTCTCTAGTGCAGGGAAAATGGTGGGACTATTTTGTTAAGGAATTGTAGTTGTCATTTTTTTTTTTTTCGTCTCTCAATGGGTTAACTTGAGTTGTGTATGTGACTATGATCTCCTAATGCTGTTAGATAAGAATATGAACTTTGAGGTCGTCACGATCTGAATTCAAATACTGTTTGGCCAGTTTCTTGCTCTATGACTTTGGAAGAGTTACTTAACTTCTCTGAACCTGTTTCTTTTGTAAAATGAGGTTGATAATAGCATCTAAGAATTCTTGTGAGGATTGAATTAGCCAACACTTATAAAGTAATTAGAAAAGTACCTGGTAGAGAGTAAGTCTGAAGTGAATCTATCTCATAATATTGTTGTGGAGAGTAAGGCACAAATTTCCTGGAAGCTGTCAGTGCTTGATTACTGTAGCTGTTTTTAATTTTAATTTTTATTTTTGGAGATAGAGTCTCGCAATCTCTGCCTCCCAGGTTCAAGCGATTCTGGTGCCTCAGCCTCCTGAGTAGCTGGGACCACAGGTGCTCACCACCATACCTGGCTAATTTTTGTATTTTTAATAGAGAGAGGTTTCACCATGTTGGCCAGGCCGGTCTTGAACTCCTGACCTCAAGTGGTCCTCCCAGCTCAGCCTCTCAAAGTGCTGGGATTACAGGTGTGAGCCACCGCACCTGTCCTGTAGCTGTTTTTTTAGAGTAGAGGCATATATGCTATATTTGTATTAGAGCTATGATTCGAAAACAACAGCTGTATGTATATGCTGTACTGATAGAAAGTAACATGTTCCTATATAAATTTCTTAACATTTGGGGAGTTGTGGACCCCTTTGAAAACCTGGTGGACTAATCCTAGTAAAATGGGGTTGCCAGGGTATCTGATTCCCACAGGTAGGTATTAAACTCTTGCTGTATTCTAAAGTGACCGAGTGGAAGGAACCTTCGGTGGAGAGTGGGAAGAGAGTACATTTTGGATGGAGAATGCAGTATGTGTACAAAGGTCCTGTGGGGAGAAATACTGTTGTAGATAGAAAAAAGGCCTGATTGAAGTACAAAAGTGGATAAGGGTGGAGGTAGGATGAGGCCCTTATCGTTTTCAAAGAAATCTTAAGCAGTGGACCAATTAAACTCTTCTCTAAGGATTAGGACATTTTAATTAAAATTAAAGAGGAAAGACTTTTGCAGTATGTCCAAAGAAGTTTATTTAACTATATAAGAAAGAAAGGGAATTCAGGAAGGAAATCTTTATTTTTTATTGATGTCAAATAAAATAACCCTGGACAGTTTTCTAGGTGAAAGAATTTCTAAGTCATTGTACCTAGTCTGTAGGTTGTTGTTGACATCTATGTGTAGTGGGTTGGTATATTCATTTTCATCCACCATCATTCAAATATTAGGGGTTGCTCATTTCTTTCTACATCCTTAACAACCAGAAACAACCCCTGGTTCTGATAAATGCCCTCATTTCCTTTCCCACGCCGATATTTAAGACTTAATACAGTTACCTATATTACTACTGACCTATTCTAATATCTATCCTTTGTTGTCAGTGAAAGCTGAGCATCTGTAGTCAAAAGGGAATCTCTGAATTTGGGCAACAGTTGCCCTCCATGGGATTAATCGTTCTGGGTGAATTATAGGATAGAATCCTGGGAAAAGCAGTAAGTCATTGGTTTGATTTTAGGGATGATAGTGTGCTTTCTGTACCTTTCTTTTTTCCGTATTTTTCTCTGAATTTCTTTTTAAGACGAGTCTCACCATGTTGGCCAGGATGGTGTCGATCTCCTGACCTCGTGATCCACCCGCCTCGGCCTCTCAAAGTGTTGAGATTACAGGTGTGAGCCACCGGGCCCAGGCTTTTCTCTGAATTTTATTGCTTGAGAACTCTTTAAAAGAAAGCCCCTTTAGCAGACAGCATTGAGCAGCAAAAAGAAGGAGATAATCATTATCACCCTAATAATGTTAAGTGAGGGAGATGAGACATAAAAGACCTTTTTTTTTTTTTGAGATGGAGTCTGTGTCGCCCAGGCCACAGTGCAGTGGCTCCATCTTAGCTCACTGCAACTTCCACCTCTCAGGTTCAAGCGATTCCCCTGACTCAGCCTCTCAAGTAGCTGGGACTACAGGCATGTGCCACCATATCCGGCTAATTTTTGTATTTTTTTTTAAGTACAGACGGGGCTTCACCATCTTGGCCAGGCTGGTCTTGAACTCTTGACCTCTTGATCCACCTGCCTTGGCCTCCCAAAGTGCTAGGATTACAGGTGTGAGCTACTGCGCCCAGCCCATAAAAGACCTTTCAAGCAAGATTTTATATTTTAACTTTGAGTTAACCACATAGAAGGGGAAGTTACCGAATCCAACTTGATAAATGTTTTTATTTCACAGTAAAATTTTGTTACTCTTAACAGGTCGAACAAATTGAAGCAGGGACACCAGGCCGACTCCGAGTAGTAGCTCAGTCTACCAATAGTGAGGAAATCATTGAAGGAGAGTATAATACGGTAAGGAATGGGCTCAGGTTAATACTTTAGCAGAAAGCAAATAATGTGCTTATTGAATATTGTTTAGGAACTTAAAATGGCTCTTAGGGATTTCCAGGTGTACTGGTTCTATGCCCATTCTAAGACATCTCAATAATTTGTGATATTAAAATTTGTTTTGGTGGCCGGGCGTGGTGGCTCATGCCTGTAATCCCAGCACTTTGGGAGGCTGAGGTGGGCAGATCACAAGGTCAGGAGTTCGAGACTAGCCTGGCCAATGTGGTGAAACCCTATCTCTATTAAAACACAAAAATTAGCTGGGCATGGTGGCGGGCACCTGTAGTCCCAGCTTCTTGGGTGGCTGAGGCAGAAGCATTGTTTGATTCTGGGAGACAGAGGTTGCAGTGAGCTGAGATTGTGCCACTGTACTCCATCCAGCCTGGGCAACAGAGTGAGACTCCGTGTCCAAAAAGAAAAAATTGTTTTGGTATAGGGATGGCTTCAGATTTTTTCCACTATAACTTAAGGCAACAGAATTTTTTTTTTTTTTTTTGAGACTGAGTCTTACTCTGTCACCCGGGCTAGAGCGCGGTGGCACACTCTCGGCTAACTGCAGTCTCCACCTCCCAGGTTCAAGCGATCCTCCTGCCTCAGCCTTCCAAGTAGCTTGGACTATAAACATGTGTCTCCATACCAGACTAATTTTTGTATTTTTAGTGTAGATGGGGTTTCACCATGTTGGCCAGGCCAGTCTCGAACTCTTGACCTCATGACCCACCCGCCTCTGCCTCTCAAAATGCTGGGATTACAGGCATGAGCCACTGTGCCTGGCCAGGCAACAGAATTTTTAAATGGACCAGAATTCCTGTCTTGTGTTCTTCCCTTTCATCTCCCCAGGCAACCACTTAAAAAATAATTTAGTCATAGACTATGATGTTGTTGTCTTTAAACTTGGATAGGTTTATTAAGGCATTACAAATTCTCTTTTTCCTAATTAGAAGTGCAAAATAATTTCTGCTATTTCATGTTCAAAGGATTTTTTTCCCTGACGATTTTAATTTATTTAAACTCTTGTGTTACTTTTTTAATGAAATATTTATTTCCAGGTTTGATAAATGAAACCAGATTAACTTAGTAAGCAGAGAAAAATATGATTAAGTAATAAATGCAAAGCCTTTTTGTTGTTAGTCACTAATATATTAATAATTTTTCAGGTGTTGTTGGCAATAGGAAGAGATGCTTGCACAAGAAAAATTGGCTTAGAAACTGTAGGGGTGAAGATAAATGAAAAGTAAGAAAAAAATCTTTATTATGTAATATTTAATGCTATTTCAGTTATTTACAGCACTGGTCAATTATAGAATTTTAGTGTTTTTGTTTGTTTGTTTGTTTTTGACATAGAGTCTTGCCCTTTTGCCCAGGCTTGAGTGCAGTGGTGCAATCTCATGTCACTGCAACCTCTGCTTTCTGGGTTCAAGTGATTCTTGTGCCTTAGCTCCCTAATAGCTGGATTACAGACACCTGCCATCATGTCTCTAATCATGTTGGCCAGGCTGGTCTCCATCTCGTGGCCTCTAGTGATCCACCCACATCAGCTTCCCAAAGTGTTGGGATTACAGGCGCAGAAAACTTTTCTTCCAGTGGCATTCACTTTAGTATTTCTGTTTTCTTTTTCCATTTTGGGGGATGTTATAATTTAGAATCCTCACTCTTAACCTCTGTGTTGGAGTTCTTCCATTCTAAGATTTCTTAGAGTTTTCTTATTTCTTTGATTTTCAAAAGTGGCCAGAGTTGTCATGATAAGCTTTTTTGTTTCTTTGAGCTGTTTTATTTTTAATACATTAGCGCATTGTCCTCAGCTAGAGTCATGATTTTGGGCTTCCTTGGGAAAAAGGAGGATTTTGTTCTCCTTAATTAATTATGGTAATTAATGATAATTTTTAACTGAATAAAATTTCAGGACTGGAAAAATACCTGTCACAGATGAAGAGCAGACCAATGTGCCTTACATCTATGCCATTGGCGATATATTGGAGGGTAAGGTGGAGCTTACCCCAGTTGCAATCCAGGCAGGAAGATTGCTGGCTCAGAGGCTCTATGCAGGTTCCACTGTTAAGGTGAGTGTTGTGCTTATCCTCACTAGATACTGTTGTCAATAATACTCCCAGTTCCTTATTTAGGGGGCAGTTGGGAAGTTTCGCAGATCTTGAATATTTTAGTTATTTTGGTGATAGCATCCTAGATGTCCTTTATTAGCTGTATTCCAGACGAGATAGTATTAAGGCTGCTGTACATTTGTGACTTTATATGAAAATGGACATTCTTGGATTCATACTGTGAATAAAGATCTTGATTAATCAGGTTTCGGCACTATTGTTAAATAGCGTACTTCATATCCATATACTCTAAATAGTTGCATTTTATGTCTGTTTTATTATTGCCAATATAAATTAAATGTTCTAAGGTCTTTTTATGGCACTTATCTAGGCTATAAAAGGACTTGAGGATTTAGGTAATGGTGTCAGTGTGCAAAGTAACTTAAACCACTGTTCCCTCTGTCAATTTTGAACTTTTTTGAAGTGTACCCTTTTTTTTAAGTTTTAACTTTGCCTATTATAACTCCTTACCTCCATTTTTAAACAGTGTGACTATGAAAATGTTCCGACCACTGTATTTACTCCTTTGGAATATGGAGCTTGTGGCCTTTCTGAGGAGAAAGCTGTGGAGAAGTTTGGGGAAGAAAATATTGAGGTAATTTCTCTTTTCTCCTATATGAAATTACTACTTTAATCCTTCAGAATTTTAAAGTATACAGAAAAGTTGAAAAATAGTACAAAGAATTTTCATATACCCATTATCCAGAGTCATATATTACTAACATTTTGCCAATTTATTTTAGACACTTTCAGTATTTTCTCTCTCTCTCTCTCTCTCTCTCTCTCTCTCTCTGTGTGTGTGTGTGTGTGTGTGTGTGTGTGTGTGTGTGTGTGTGTGTGTGTGTGTGTGTGTGTTTCTGCGAATCATTTGAGAGTAAGTTGAATGCTCCTTTATCCCTAAATACTTACTGTATACTTCTATGAACAAGGGGATTTTCCTATATAACCACAGTGTAGTTACTACTTTCAGGAGATTTAGTATTGAGTAATATTTTTATTTGATTTAACTCTCATTTTCTAATTTTGTCAGTCAACCGAATTGTATTTCCCTTGTAAAAATCATATTTATTGATTTCTCTTGATTAATTATAGGAAAGTGAATGCTCTGACGATTAGTACTACTTGTTTATAGCATTACCTTCTAATTTGTACTAACTTTTCTGCTTACATTTTATCATGAACGAAAATGCACATGAAATACAGTATTCATTTCTATAATAAAGATATACTATTCTTATAATCAGAAAAAAATGTTAATAATGTGTTACTAATAGGCCAAGATATAACATGCTACTACCAATGCATGTAATAAAAATATTATTTTGTTTGTTTGTTTTGAGATAGAGTATCACTCTGTCGCTCAGGCTGGAGTGCAGTGGCGTGATCTCGGCTCACTGTAACCTCTGCCTCCAGGGTTCAAGTGATTCTTCTGCCTCAGCCTACTGAGCAGCTAGGACTACAGGCGCATGCCACCACCCCGGTTAATTTTTTGTAATTTTAGTAGAGACAGGGCTTCACCGTGTTAGCCAGGATGGCCTTGATCTCCTGACCTTGTGATCCACCCACCTCGAGCTCCCAAAGTGCTGGGATTACAAGTGTGGGCCATCATGCCCAGCCTGTACTTCTATTAAGGGGTGCTATACTATAATTTGTTAAGCCATTCTTTGATTAGCTTGTTTACAGTTTTTTCATTATTATAAGTAGAATGACGAACATCTTCATAATTCATTGTTTCTCAGATTATTTTTTGAAGATAGATCCTCCTATGAGTGTGTGTGTATATATATGACATACATATGTAATTAAATTTTGAAGTTTTTAACATATTTCATATTTCTTGATAGACAATATTTAAGTTTTTTAATTTGCTTTTTTGTTATAGAAGTGTAATGTGTTTGAGTTGAAGAAACTTTGAAAATTGTAAGGGAAAGAGGAAACAATTACTCATGGACTTATGTCTGTAACACAGCAATTTTTAGCAATTTGGGGTCATTCCTTTAATTTTTTTCCTATAAAATTATGATACTATGATACTGTACTTTAATTTTATAACCCATGTTTATTTTAAAAATTATATTATGTATTACAACATGGAAGAACACTACTTATGTCTTCATAATCAGTTTGCTTGTAAAAGGTAGCAAAACATGTTTTGAACTGAGGCTAGCAGCTGGGGGAGAAAAAAAAATCCATTTGGTCATCCAGGAATTACATCAGTAAGGATGCTGTCCTTCCAGACTTCGTTCCTCCCTCTCTTCTTCCTTCCTTCATTCCTTCCCTGTCTCCTTCCTTCATTGTTTTTAGTGAATTATGCCAAAGGAGGAAATGTCTTTTGGAAGCATTAAGCAAGAGAACTAGGTAATTACTATAATTGATCCTGGCACCTTATTTGTTTCTTGCCCAAGTTGTCATTCACATTGGGTAACAAGATAGTATTGAGGTATGCGTATGTGTGTGTTTTCAATGTAAGACAGCAGGTAATTAAATGGCTTCTTTCTCTCATTCCCTTGTTCTTTTTTGTTATGAGTTAGGGTGTATTCTTTTGAGGTTGAGATATACATAATTAAGGGATGAGCTTATAGCAAAAGTGCCTGACAGCAAGGAGTTTAAGGTCATTTACCTTTTGACCAGATTCCTATTTATTCCATGAATGTTATTGTTTAATGAAAGTCTACTTTGTCTCCACTGTCTTTCACCATATATAATGTTTGACAGACATGCTGTTTAAAATAATGTGTCTAAATTTTGCTTTTGTATTTTCTTAGGTTTACCATAGTTACTTTTGGCCATTGGAATGGACGATTCCATCAAGAGATAACAACAAATGTTATGCAAAAATAATCTGTAATACTAAAGACGACGTAAGTGCAATTCTCACTTAATCCTTTTCCAATAATTTTATTTTTACTTAGGTTTTTAAATTTTATTTTATTTTATTTTATTTTTGAGATGGAGTCTTGCTCTGTCCTCTAGGCTGGAGTGCGGTGGTGAAGTGTTGACTCCCTGCAACCTCTGTCTCTCGGGCTCAAGCAATTCTCCTGCCTTAGCCTCCTGAGTAACTGGGATTAGAGATGCATGCCACCATGCCCAGCTAATTTTTGTATTTTTTTTTAGTAGAGAAGGGGTTTTACCATGTTGGCCAGGCTGGTCTTGAACACCTAACCTCGTGATTTGCCCACCTCCCAAAGTGCTGGGATTACAAGCGTGAGCCACCACACCCAGCTTTAGTTTTTAATCTATAGCTTAGTTGGTCACATGGTACAGATGGCATTCCTTCAGTATTTCGCCTGCCAGTCTTCTCAGCTAATAGATATCAGCAGCCGGCAAGGACCTTGCCTGCTCTCCTCTCATCTTCACTGGCACGAGGCCCTGCACTTAGTCAACAGGCAGCCAAAACTTACTGAGAGAAGGAACCAAAGGCATAACTTGAGAACTGTCTGTTTGTTTTTATAAAAGAGAAACAATAAAGTCATCAGCTATCAAAATATAGTGAATAACAAAAAAGAGCAATGCACATTTGATGCTTAGCAACTGGGACTAATGAAAAAGAGCTCTTAATTGAATTCTAAGATTTCATTGCCTCCTGCTACATGTAACACTGGTCAGGTATTATTACATGTAAATCTAATGTATTTAAGTGCTTTTTAGTAGTTCCTCCTACAGATATACTTTATTTATACCATAAGGCCCCAATTGTCAGGGTGAATATGTGTAAGAGTACAAAGTGCTATATATTCCAATACTTTTTTTAGCAGGCACCTGTGAAGGCCTGTGAGCAAACTCTATGCCTCACAGGTTTTATTTCCATATGTACGAAATGAGGGATTGGATAGTTCATATTTTTTAAACTGTTTTGACTGCTGCCACACATTGTAACCTGGGACACAGGTATGCATATACACACACTCTCTTTAAGTGATGTATTGACTCTTAAGAAAACCAATCTTTTTAACTTATCTGACAGTTTTTAAAAAACGACCTCAGTAAAAGTATAAATGATGTTAAAGAATCTATATGTTAAAAGCCTAGTAAACTCTGATAATGTTTTAATCTCAAAATTTTAATATAATTAAGCCATGTTTCCTATTTGGAAACTACTGTTTTAGGCAGTAGGACAGTTACAGCTTGGTTTTTTGGTAGAACCCAGGGTTTTAGAAAACATTTTCCTGGATCCACTGCAAAAAAGAAAAGCTTCAAATGAATATACTAGGATAACCCATAATGAGCTACACAGTTAACATAAAAAACAATTGTATACATAGTTTTTATTTTTAGGCAGATTTTCTTAAAAGTTTTTTATATGGGCGTATATTAGATATCACTTTTGCTGCACACCAAAGGAGAAAATGTCAGGATTCTCATTGGCAGTATATTAACTGCCCGGTCTCGCTGAGAGACACTTCAATTGCTCATAGCAGTCAGTGAAACCTTGCAGGTTTCCTTCCTACCGAGCAAATCCATTTTAGCCATATGTATTTTGTTCTTTTTTCAGTGTTTCAATTTGTTCAAATGGCATTGCTAGTATAATGTGAAAAATAATTTTACTATCAATAAACCTGCCAATAGTTGAGGTCATAAGCAGGGTGACAGTGTTTTCAGTTATTTTCATAGATAAAGATGGTAATAGAGAAGATGAATATTTGTTACTGCTCTTTTGTCATGAGCTATCTGAGGCAAAAGCTTGTAGAACTTGGCTATCCCTGGGGCGTGCTTTATTCATTTTGAGTCAGTCACTTGACTTCAGTGTCTAAATGTCCTTGATTCCAAATTGTACTTACAATGTTTATTTGCTGGCTTTTGTTCTCTGCTATTTTTTTTTTAACATAAAATGTTTAAAATATAATAAAGATGAGGAAAGTACTCACCATCCAAAGTCAACGAATGTTAACATTTTGCTGTATTTGCTTCAGATTGTTTCTTATGAGAGAAACAATCACATATGCAGTTTACAACAGCTTAAATTTTTGAGCACTTAATATGTACTAGGCACTATAAAAGTCTACAGGTAATAGCTTATGTAATCCTTACACAAGCCTGTGAGGTATATGCTGTTGTTTTCCCCTTTTTTTAGATAAGGAAACTGAAGCACGCGGAAGTTAAATAATTGTATTCAAATCATTTACCTAGGTAAGGGCAGATCTGTACATTCATTCTCACACAATGTAGATACCATGCTATTAACTATTATTCCTGTGCAGTCTTCTGTCTTCCTTCGCTCCCCGAGAGGCAAAACTTAATGCAGTCAAAGGGTCTCTCATACTTAACGTTCTTCTGTTTGTCACCTATTTACGAATGCATAAACATTATACAGTGTTTGTGGTTTAATTGAAGGTGGCATCCTCATTATATAGAGTTCTGCAACTTTTTTATAATCTCATATTTTTAGATCCTTTTCACATTATTACGTGTAAATGTATTTTAAGTGGTTTTTAGTAGTTCCTCCTACAGATTATACTTTATTCATACCCTAAACCCGAAAATGTCAGGGTGAATATGTGTTAAGAGTACAATATACAGTATATTACTGTCCTTTGTCAGCAGAACAACTTCCTGATTGTTCCCAGGGTGTGACAGAACCTTAGACAAGTTCTGCACCCCACAGCCTGAGTTGTTGCCTCATTTGTTATGATGAGATTGGACTAGATAGTCTAGTCTTGCCAGAGTCCCCACTGAAAATCTATCAGCTGAACAGTTGAGCACATCAGATTTCTCTGCTTTTGGCACAGGTAGCCAGAGTTTGAGATTTCAAATTTATCCAAAAGAATTTCTACACAGGTATTTTAGAATGCCAGACATTTTTCTTTTGCTTTCAAAAATGTTTTCAGACTTTGCCGGGCACAGTGGTGGAAATACCTGTAATTGCAGCACTTTGGGAGGCTGAGGTGGGTGAACGGTTTCAGCTCACAAGTTTGGGGCCAGCGCAGGCAACATGGCGAAATCCCATCTCTATTAAAAACAAAACAAAAATGTTTTCAGACTTTGGTGATCTTGCACTATTTATCCTTAAAACCTTATTTAAAATGACTTTTTAAATTTTATTTTTATTTTATTTTTTAGAGACAGGGTCTTTCTTTGTCACCCAGGATGGAGTGCAGTGGTGTAATCATAGCCCACTGTAGCCTTGACCCCCTGGACTCAGGCAGTCCTCCCACTTCAGCCTCCCAAGTAGCTGGGACTACAGATGTAAGCCACCATGCCCAGCTAATTTTTTAATTTTTTTTTTTTTTTTAATAGAAACAGAGTCTCCCTGTGTTGCCAGGCTGGTCTTGAACACCTGGCTTCAGGTGATTCTCCTGCCTCAGCCCCGCAAAGTGCTGAGGCTTGAGATTACAGGCTTGAGCTATGGTGCCAAGTCAAAATGACTTAAATTTGAATGACTACTCTTAAGGGTCCCAGCTATTGCAGATAGTCTGTGTGGAGCTGAGGCAATCAAATATAGGATGTGAGGATGCCCTGCCCTTTGATAATATTTTCCAGAGCGTTTTGGTTATTAAAGACCTGCTGGCATCTTTGCCTTTTGTATTTTTCTTCATAAAATGAGTAATCTCTTGTAGCTGTCTCTTGTGTCTTTGTTCTTATTTGAAGTGAGCATCATATTTTCTGTATTGGCTCATGTTGGGGAGTCTTTAGCCTAAATAGCTGTACCAGCAGTCATTAAAGTTTCTGGACATTTTTGAGTTGCATTTTTAAGAAAATAGACTGGAGAAATGCTCTAGTCTGTGTAGGAAGAGAAGGGGAGAAAAATCAGTTTAATTGCATCATTTTATTTTTTTTGCTTTAGGAACGTGTTGTGGGCTTTCACGTACTGGGTCCAAATGCTGGAGAAGTTACACAAGGCTTCGCAGCTGCACTGAAATGTGGACTGACCAAAAAACAGCTGGACAGCACAATTGGAATCCACCCTGTCTGTGCAGAGGTGGGTTATCTACACTTCTGCAGTTTAAAAATGCACACCACCCAGCTTATAAGTGGCAGATATAGGACCCTGAGTTTGATAATGATTCCTCAAAAGAGGGCCTTGTCTCTAAAAATGAGTTTTCATCTTTCAATATTCATTGCTCATGGTGTGAACTGGAGGTTTCTGTCATGTTGTTAAGTGTTAAAAATTATCAGAGTGATTTATAGAGCTGTGCCTTAAATATTTTATTTAGCATCTAAATTATTTTCATGGCAATCAGTTAATAATGGAAGAACTTCAGTTTCACAGCTGTCTTGAAGCTAAATGATACTGCTTGCTTCTTCAGCTTTTGGTATCAATGAATGAGATTTGCAAATAATGCTTTCAAAAGATCAAATGACAGTAGAAATAGAAATTGACCAATCTAGTCCTCTGGGTGTCAGTGTTTCTTCGCCGCCAGTGATCATCCGAGAGTTGAATATTGTAATACCTAACTGCATAGGAATGGTAAGCCAAAAATGTGTTTATATTGGAGAACTTGGGGAGGTGTGGGAGGAGGCATGTCATACTATGCCAGCTTATACATGGAGTTGAAAATTGCGGTGATTATCCGTTGTTGGGAGTGGTTTCCAAGTTGTATATTGTACTTGCGTGCACGCGCACACGCGCGCGCGCGCACACACACACACACACACACACCCACCCACCCACCCACCAGATTTCACTCAGCAGCTCCATGACTGGTTGGTATTTGTTCCTGATTGCCCTTGTGCAACTGAACTCATTGCCGAGTATGTGGAATGTCAGCTTTAAGGCCTGGAAAAACGTTTTAGCTTTCTTTTGCTTTGCCTTCTCTGTGATCAAGAATCCTTCTCTATTAATAGGCACCTGGCTGGGATATAAGCCTAAAATATTAACAGGTTGAGAGATTAGGGCATCAATTATAGAAAGCTGCTGTTTTGTGAGAGAAATAGAATTAAGCTTCAAAAAAAATATAAAAACTGAAGTCTTGATGAATGCCCTTAATGTATGGTAGATTTTTGTTTGTTTGTTTTGTTTTGTTTTTTTTTTTTTTTTTGAGACGGAGTTTCGCTTTTGTTACCCAGGCTGGAGTGCAATGGCGCGATCTCGGCTCACCGCAACCTCCGCCTCCTGGGTTCAGGCAATTCTCCTGCCTCAGCCTCCTGAGTAGCTGGGATTACAGGCACGCGCCACCATGCCCAGCTAATTTTTTGTAGAGACGGGGTTTCACCATGTTGACCAGGATGGTCTTGATCTCTTGACCTCGTGATCCACCCGCCTCGGCCTCCCAAAGTGCAGGGATTACAGGCATGAGCCACCGCGCCCGGCCTATGGTAGATCTTTTATTCAGTGGAATGACTCAAACTGCCTGTGTTGGGAAGGAGCCAATTAACTTTGCTTTCTTGAGTACATTAGTTTCCTAGGGCTATTGTAACAATGTACCACAAACTGGGTGGCTTAAAAATAGCAGACATTTACTCTCTCTCAGTTCTGGAGGCTAGAAATTCAAACTCTAGATGTCAGCAGGGCCAAGCTCCCTCCAGAGGCACTAGGGAAAAATCCTCCCTTGCCTCTTCTCTCTTCTGGTAGCAGTGGCAGTCCTTGGCATTCCTTGGCGTTCCTTGGCTTGCAGATGTATCACTTTAATGTCTTCCTCCCTCTTCACATGGCCTCATCCCCTGTGTGTCTGTGTCCAAATTTCCCTCTTTCAAAAAACTCCAGTTATTGGATTAGGGCCCACTCTAATCCAACATGATCTCATTTGCACTTGATTACATCTGCAGAGACCCTATTTCCAAATTCACAAATACTGGGGGTTAGGACTTGATCATGTCTTTTAAGGTTATGGCGACACAATTCAACACACAATAGTGAGTATATTTTAAAATGCAGTTGCCATTTCAAGTTACTTACAAGCTTCAATAACCATTTCTGAAAGGGATGAAGGAAAAGACAATTTTATTCTTTTGTATATGAGTGTCTAATTTTTGTCAGAATTCAGCTGGGCATGTAGAAAGAAAGACTGCTGTGTATTGGCCTCTGACCTCCACAGGAGGCTGTTGTGCTGTGATCCAGCAGCAGCATCTGGCAGGGTAACTGCCAGCTGGGCAGAAGGATGCCGTAAGGATGCAGGATGTCTCCTGAAGCCCATGGCTGCGGGGAGGTCAGCCAAAGGCCCGTTCTCCTTGGTATGCCTGGCACATTAGTGCTGTGCATCTCCATCTGTTGGTCCTCTTAGGATGTTGAAGCTCAGAGGCTGAAAATGTTCTGGTGCTTTGATAGGACTCTGGTATTTTATTTTTCCAAGCTGTTGGCTGATTAACAAGATAAAAAATTGGGTGAAATTGCACTCTGTGAACACACTTGTCAAGCTGTGTGCACAGCGTCGTGCTGGGCACAGGGGACACAGCAGGGATTTGGGATAAGCTTAGGAGCAGAGGAGGCAGCTGGGTGATGTGCCGGTAACAATTCCGTCTGATGCGTCCTAGGATCAGGGTAGACATAAAGTGCTGGAGGCACTGGGTTGCTACCTTTGCGGTCTTTGGCTCAGGGATTCCTCCGATCTGTTTTTACTCACAGAGCACTTCTGACCCCAGATGTGTGGAGGTTTTGCTCACACAAACAACCAATTCTCCAGCTTTCCAGACACCAGCTGGGTGTCCTATAACATAACTCAATTCTGATACCAGTTGCCTCTATTTAGCATCAGATCCTACAAGGGCTCAGTCCCATAAGCCTGCCTCCATTGCAGAGGCCAGTCTCAAGTCCAGGCCTCCTATACTTCTGACCTACCAGCTATGAAGTCATGGGGTTCCCATGATAAATTGCTAGCATGGCTTACGGAACTCAGGAATAAACTTTACTTATATTTACTTGTTTATTATAAAGGTTGCAACTCAGTAACAGCAAAATGGAAGAGTTACACAGGGCAAGGTGGTTGTGGGGAGGTGGGGGATGACAGAACTTCCATGGCCTCTTTAGGTGTGGCACCTTCCTAGCACCTCGATATTCACCAACATGGAAGTTCTCCAAACCTCTCATTTAGGGGTGTTTTTAGAGGTCCCATTATGTAGGCATGATTGATTAATCATTGACCATTGGTAATTAACCCAATTCTCCTGCTCTCTCCCCAGATGAAGGGGGTCAGAATTGGGGCTAAAAATTCTACCTCTGATGACATGGTTGGTTCCTCTGGCAACCAGCCACCATCCTGAAGCTATCTAGGTCCCCACCAAAAGTCACATCATTAGCATAAGCTTAGGTGTGGTCGAAAGGGGCTCATTATGAATAGCAAAAGATGCTCATCTCACTAGTGTCACTCAGGAAATTCCAAGGGCTTTAGAAGTGCCCATGCCAGAAACGGGGACAGGATGGAAGACGAAGTACATATTTCTCATTATATCACAATATCATAGGATGTTGGGGCAGGATGATTCTGGAGGGGGTTCTTAGTTAAGACTAGAAGAATGTGTGGGTGTTCGCTAGTGAGAGAACACTGTATAAAAAGCCTGGGTGGAAAAGAAGATGGCTCATTCAAGGAACTGAAGAAGACCCTCAATATTGCCATAGCTTAAAGAGCTTAGATAGTTAAATATATATGTATGCATGCGCTGGATAAACAGGTGGGTAAGTGATGGTCTTGTAAACTAAGGAAGGATATTTTGACTACCTTTGGGGCATTGTAATTCAGCCAAAAGGTCTAAAGCAGGGAGTAACATGTTCAGGTACATTGTTCAGAAACATTCCTCCAGCTGCACCTTGGAAGCTGGACTGAGCGGGCAAGTGGAATGGCAAATCCAGTTATGTGGCTGTTGAGGTGGACAAGAGGAGATGATAGTGGCCTGAGGCGGTGGCAGTGGAAATGGAGCAACATTGTTGTATTTGAGGTTAGAGTTGGCAGTACCTGCCCACTGACCAGGAATGTGAAGAGGGAAGAGCTGAAGACCACTCAGGTTTGTGTCCTGCAATAGGAAGTAATAGCAAGAGCAGGCTCGAGAGGTGACAGTGACGACAAGACCACTGATGCGTATGTGGACCTGCTGTATGCTGGGTACTGCGTCCCTGCCTGTTGACTAACTTGGTCCTTATGAGTACCTCATGAGATGGGTGAGGGTAGTATACCTATTTGACAGACGAGGAAATCAAGGACAAAGAGGTTGAGTAAATTGCCCATGGTTACCCAGCCTGGTCACGGCAGAGCTGGGATTCAAACCCAGGCAGGCAGTCCAGAACCCCAAAGCCCCACACTGTGGAGGTGATACTGCATTTCCATAGACTGTCCTACCATATGTGCCATAGAATTTAAAAATGGAAATGATTTCGTAGTGGCAACATGAACATAGTGGAGACACACAGACCTGGGTTGTAATCTTACTCAGCAAATTCCCCTCAGTGAGACCTGGCCATACCACCCAGGTTTTCAGAAGTTTAGTTTCCACATTAAATAAAATAAGAGGCCAGGCATGGTGGCTCACTCCTATAATCCCAGCACTTTGGGAGCCTGAGATGAGTGGATCACTTGAAGCCAGGAGTTGGAGGCCAGCCTGCCCACCATAGCGAAACCCCATCTCCAAATAGCAAAAAATTGGCTGGGCATGGTTGTATATGTCTGTAATCCCAGCTACTTGGGAGGCCGAGACACAAGAATCTCTTGAACCCAGGAGGCAGAGGTTGCAGTGAGCCAAGATCACGCCATTGCACTCCAGCCTGGGTGATAGAGCAATACCCTGTCTCAAAATAGGTAGGTAGGTAGGTAGGTAGGTAGGTAGGTAGATAGACAGTTAGATAGATAGATAGATAGGCTGGGCGTGGTAGCTCACGCCTGCAGTCCCAGCACTTTGGCAGGCCAAGGCAGGCAGATCACAAGGTCAGGAGATTGAGACCATCCTGGCCAACATGGTGAAACCCTGTCTCTACTAAAAATACAAAAAAATTAACTGGGCATAGTGGTACACGCCTGTAGTCCCAGCTACTCGGTAGACTGAGGCAGGAGAATT